ACACCAATGGAACATCCCCGTGGAGTCAAATCTTCTCGGTTCCTCCCCGGGTGTCAGCTGGTCTGTGGAGGGCACTGGTGACGTTGCTTCACTCAGGTTCAAACTCGTCCCTCCGTCCAGCGAAGTCTTACTGGCACTGGTTTGCCTACAGAAGGGGAGATTTGTTGTAGAGGAGGGTAGGAAACTCTCATATCAGGCACTGCAGTGATGCTTAATGATAGAATTTCAGTAATTTTGTAAACAAAAATGATATACGTTTTAAGGGAGAAAGTGAGTTATATTCCATTTTAGCAACATTCCAGTCATATCAGGAATAAGGGGCAGAGGACGGGCTTCAAGTTGTATCCAAGGTTAAGCTGTTCATGCTCTGGCTCGTCACACAAAAGACCTGGTTTGGGATCACATGGATAAAATTTGATTTAGTTGGTTCTTTTGTTGCTTAACGCTGCACTCAGCAATATTCCAGCTATGTGGCGGCGGTCTGTAAATAATCGAGTCCGGGACCAGACATTCCAGTGATCAATAACATGAGCATCGTTCTACTGTGATACGATGACATGTGTCAACCAGGTCAGCGAGTCTGACCAGCTGATCATGTTAGTTGCCTTGTACAACAAGCATGGGATAAAATTTGAAGTCCAACCTGAGAGGTGAAGATTTTCCTGGCCAGACCACACTCAGGAATGAGTATAGCCTGATCCTACATTAAATGGAAGTCTGAACAGGTCCTTAGATATCTCATAACAGGGAATACAAGAATGAGTTTACAGTTTGTATCCATCAAAGCAGGTCTTTGGTGTTACAAGTTTTACCACCAAGCTACCCTATCATCGTCTGCTTTTTCATTCAGTTAATCAACAGACTGACTGCATTTGCAGGCCCAATCAAGTATATTTTGTTAGATGATACAAACAAGTTCAAACAGTATAAATATCTGTATCACTTTTCAGCATCATTGCAGTGTGGGCATTCTTAAAGCAATTTTTAATTATATATTTAAAATGATTAATCTGAAATATGTACTTTTTTTTAATCAGTCACTTGTTTGAAAAATTATTAAATCAAAGACAACTTTAGTACTGATGATCAAATCAGTCGAGGTGTGACGATACAGAAATTTCTTGATACGATATCTTGGAACAATACGATTTGATTCGATGCATATCACTTAAATTTGATTCGATGCATATCAGTGTAAATGCTATCTTTGAGTTACTAGTAGTTGTTTCAAAAAAGAAAAAGATTGACTATTATATCGTCACAGCTCTACAAATCAGCATATTTGTATAAAAGCACTGTTGTTGATATCCCAGACAGTTATCACACATGCACATGGGGAACAGACCATCTGCACAAACAGCAGCTTACCATATGTCTACATATGTTCTGTCAAAACGTTTATTGAGAATGTTTTCCTCTAAACAAATAATCTATCAGAACAATAAAAACCATTAAAACATAATGCCTGGTAAACTTTTACATGAAATATAAACATTAGTTAATGCAAATTCTGTAGTTTAGATTTTCGGATTTATTTCATGATAAACAAAATGTACATACAATACACACAATATTCCCGACATTTTAAATATAATATGTTGTAGGATGTCAGTATGTGCATGCTAGGGGTACACAACCATGAAACAACAAACATGCAAACATGTCCTTTTGATGCGTTGTGGTGATTTTCCTTATCTCAGATAACACAACACCATTTTCTATGCAACTGAACCTCCCCTAAATATATAAAATGATCCAAGCAATGACTGTTGCTGTCTATATTAATATCTAAGCTGATATTATTCTGTGCAAAAGCATATCTAAACATTTACCATTGATACTGGAGCTTTGTATTGTCACGATATGATATTTTTAGCTACAAGTGCAACGTGAAAAGCATGACTTTGGTAAGGCAACAAGTAAACACTTCCTGTGATTTATAGTTGATTATTTTATAAAGCTCTGAAGTAATTTCAAAGAATGGTACATATATAATTATAATAGTGTGGTTGTCAGTGAATGCTAGACCTAAAATAAGCTGTTTAGTTTTGTTTAAATGCGTGCTAAATGAACTAGAACTGGTGCATTTTATGAAATTACAGTGTATTTACAATGGACTTATTTTGCCATGAACACTTGAAACAGTAACCATAGTACCCAAGGTACAGAAGCTCACCTATCAGGATGATATACCACTTGAGTGATATTTTGATGAAGTATTTTGTTGAACGAGGACACCAAAATGTACATGAACTGATATGATATTCACATAATGATGAGTGAGGACTAATAATTATTTTACCTTTAAAACATAATTATTTTTTTTAAAGCTATAGATACATCTTTGTGGTTTTATCAATGTCTATGCATTTTTTTCAGTTCTACCAGTGGTATAAATGTTGATTTGTTACACATGATAACCTTACTTCATAATAGATAATAGGGGTGACTATTGAGGTTGAAACAACTATTGCGATAGTCTATTGCAACATACTATCGCGATATCGATAGTCTATTGCAATACTATTGCAATAGCTTTTTCTCTCCATAAATTGTCTCATTTGAAGACATTTCCCAAATGAATATATAGTTTATATGAAATATAAACAAAGTGAAGTAGTTTCAGTCTCTTCTAATAACTGATAAGAAACTTGAAACCCAGATCAATTAAAAGGTTAAAACATAAACTCAATGAAGCCGAAAGTCTGCAGGGGTGGATAACTCTAAATCAACATGAACGAATCTGGTACTTCCTATATTTGGCCCTGCACATTTATCAATGGAAGTCAATTACAAAACTATCGATAATCAGACATACTATCGATGCATCGATAGTTTTTCGTTTCTACCATCGATTTATTGTTATCGCAGACTCAACAATTGCAATCCATCGATAGTTTGATGCATCGTTACAGCCCTAATAGGTAAGGACTTTCTCTGAAGACTTAAAGGTCAAATGTGACAAAATATATGTAAGATTTTCATCCTAATGCGTAACAACCTACAGATGAAGACATTTTTTGCTTGATAAATTACAGCATGAAACTATACAAGACACATTCATGCTTCATGTAAATCACATCCTTTTACATTAGTTTACAGAGAAGCTTGAACAGCTTAAATTAAACAGATTAAATTTAGCAAAGTATAAAAATTTATACTATTTGCTTCACTTTTTTTTTTACTGAAAATCTAATTATTATTTATTCTTGCCATGTCTATGACAAGACATTTTCTAACTTGGGATTGCTCCGGTAGAAGCCATTTTTAATTTTTCAGACATAAAACCCTACTTCAGCATAACGCCGGACAACATAACATGCACTTCCGTGATACTTGATTACATTTGGTTACAAACATGTGCAGTGCTGCTAAATGATAAGAAGGATGTAGTGTGGACAAATTCCGATAACATGCTCACATCGACGATGTCAAGGTGAGCTACCATGACGCAAGACAATGATGCAGGTTGGTGCACAGGACATTGCAGTGCAAGAGGGAGGTCAATATGGAGGCCAATATGGAGGTCAGTAGGAAGAAGTTTACAATGCAAGAGGAAGAGGAAATAGTGCACATGTATTTAACATTCTTACTCTTCTTTCTTCGGCAAGGACCAGATGTTTGCTATATTGGGACTGAACCAGGCATATCGGGTTAGTGAGACAGAAGGTGAATATGTACTACAGAAGTTAACATGTGAATGACAGTCAGAAGCACCCTGTGAAACCTCTAGTTAAAGCATGTGAATCTAGTCAACATATATCCGTGTAGTGCCACAGCAATATTATTCTAATTTTATGGATTTTTGGTCAAAACTGAGGTATGAAAATGTTATCAGCGATGAGTTGGTCGATTAAAACAAAAGTATTTATTTCAATCAAAATAATTTTTGACACAATTTTTTCTAATCAATTTTGTTGACTTAAGAAATAAGATTGAAATCAACCCTGACAAAATTCATCTTAAACAAATCTGAACAAAATCCATACAAGAAAACAAGGAATCACCAGACATTTCAAAGCATATAAGTGACACTACGTGGCCTATGGTATAATGTCAATGGACATATTATAAGTGTTGTGAGATCATCCTACCATTTAGTACACAGTAATACTCAAAGGAAATGTGTAACAAGAGGTGTTTTTTTAACATGTCAGATGATATCCTCTTCAGATGAAATCAGTGACAGGAAACACATTGAACTTCAGTCAACATGCTGGTGTATATGAAATTATGTTGTAAATTTGTGATATCTCTGGGTAATATTATAATCAATTTTACCATATGCCATTATAGCTTATGATTACAGCATTAATTTGTTGCTGTAATTCTACCTCTAAATTCCATCGTGTTGGAAACATATTTTCATAGATTTGAATATTACGTCTGTCTATTTGCAAAAATTGTACTGCAATATGATGTGATACTGGAGTGAGTGAAAGAGCTTAGTTTCACTCCTCTTTTAGCAATATTTCGCAATATCATGACGGGGACACCAGAAATGGGCTTCACACACTGAACCCATGTGGGGAATTGAACCCAGGTCTTCAGCATGATGAGTGTACACTTTGACCACTAGGCTACCCCACTGAAATGGGCTTCACATGTTGAACCCATGTGGGGAATAGAACCCAGGTCTTCTGCTTTACAAACAATCGCTTTAACCACTAGGCTAACTCACCTCCCCATGTGATACAAGGGCTTGCATTGCACTACACAGAAAGTGTTCAAGCAGACGTCACATTTACATCTTTTTGTGCAAGAGTGGTGCCTCCCCCCCCCCCCCAGATTTTCCCCCTGCAGTGATGTCAAAGTCAGAATGGTCACCTGCTGCTATTTTGTAGTCATGGATACAAGAGATTCCAGAGAATTCTTTAAGCAACTGTGTACTACCGAAATGGTTGTTTTCACATTCAACAACTTCATAACCAGATATCATCTCTATGATATAGTGTTTTCCTATATACTACCTCAAATGATCATTTTTACATATGTCTTTAGTTAATGTCGGTTACAGCAGAAAATAGCAACGAAGGTATAAGATAGGGGATCTAGCAATGCATGGATGAAGATGAAATATTCATTCAAACTTTCTAAAAACCCAAACATATTATTTGTTGGAACTGTCAAATTTAAGACCGGGAATTTGCACACTCAAATGATCAAATGTTTGATGCACAAGAGGCTGTCATGAGGAAAACATACATAACTAGTTGTTGGGAACATGCCATCAACACTGTAAATGCTGGAAATACCAGAATTACATAATACAGCGCCTATTTGCAGACAGCTGCAGGTATGTCAACTGCTTTTCTTTTTCCCCTGAATCTCGCCTGTTGCTTTTACTGCGTTTCTGTCCTTTGAGGCTTTTTTGGGAATTGCTACGCTGTCTATGAGAAGAGGGGTGGTTCTTATCGACCATATTGGGTGGGTCGCCATGTTTATGGTGCACCTCCAAGTACAGATCCGCCTTGCGGGAGACATGTCTGCAATGATGTGGGGTGTCAGCTTCTCAGCAGTATTGCAATCACATCTTAGCCCTCTCTTATCATTTGGTTTACAGACTTTGGCGAAAAGAATAAATAAAATAAAATAAAATATTTCCAGAAAATATAAAAACATAAACATATGTGTCTATAAAAATCTATATATATATTCATCGATGAAAAATAAAAGAAGGAATGAAGGGAAGTTTTTGGGAATGGTCAAGAGTTACCTCCCTTAACCTAATGGCAAATGCACTTTATATCTTATTCATAAAAAGTGACTTAAGATTTGCAGGGCAGTTAGGATATTGTTTCTTAGTTAGTGTATCTGTAAACCAAGTTTTAAAAGAGAAGCATTACCATTTACAAAATTGTTAAATTAAAAAATGCTTTTTTTCAAAGAATTCTCTACATACTAAATATATATATTTGCAATTACAACTTAGAAGACATTTAAATCACTTCATTTCCAACATTAAAAAATCTAAACAATCATTAACACAATCAATAGCTTATAAATATACTAATATATAAGTAAATTTGAAATATCTCATTGTACATACCATTCGTTTTGAAAATTGATTATTAGAGATATGAATTACAAGTAAATAGAAAGTTAAAGCATCTTAAAAGCCTCTAAGAGATCAAAGGATTGGGGAGGATATGAGCTACAAGGTAAAATGATCCACATTTAGAGGAAGGGTCCAGTTAAAGGTAGGATCCACAATTATGGAGAGTAACTGGAACATCTGGATGAGAAATACACAGGTCTGGGGATGAAAGTTGTCACTTGGAGTATGGGAGATGACAGAGAAGGGGGTACGGTTCATTATAATTTTTTGCATCTTTTCATGCTTGAGAAAAATTAATTGTAAAAAAATATCAAAACAATTTGTATTCTTTTGTACAGAAATTATATCATTAATATATTTTATATACTATATTCTTTAAAATAAATATTTCCGATAAAATCAAACAGAAACATATCCAACAGACAGACATGACAGGTTTATATACAATATACAAAAGTTGAGGAACCAGTATTGGAACAGCGACACATGACATATTGATAGACAGGGAATAGATGGGAGGGTTTTGTCGTAATGTCATTTAACAATCTGTTCTACCGTAAATGCATTACATCCATAGCTACACTCCATTTTGAAGTCTGGTAAATTCTTTTGAAACACAGCACTTACTATAGAAATCTTCAGAATATAATCCCTAAATACTGTCAATACTATCCACAACAAATTAAACTGCATTACTGTTCTCTAGAACTGGGAAGTCAATACTGAAATACTATCTTCCCAAAACATATGTGAAGTCAATAGTAAATTATAACATCTTCCTAACAACTTATCTAAATTTGTTAATCATGCTTAGACTAAGAAGAAGTCAATACTGAAATACTATCTTCCCAAAACATATGTGAAGTCAATAGTAAATTATAACATCTTCCTAACAACTTATCTAAATTTGTTAATCATGCTTAAACTAAGAAGGAGTTCACTCTAGTCAAGTCGCAGGCTTAGTAATGCCATGCTTTAATCTGCCCCATTCACCTAGTCTACAAGAACGACAGCAATGACTTCAAGTCTCGACTCTTCTAGGGTTAACATGACATCACATGACAGGGCCTAGCACAGCCAAAGTTAACATGTCGTGAGATAGGGTTAACTCATCCCTGGGGTCAAGGCACGGCACACACGGGGATAAGGAGAGTGGGGTCTGCTTACTGTTTATTTCGAATTCCCTTTTATGGTGTTTCTCATTCCTAAAAAGAAACTCACTAATGAAGTGGGGAGCTATTTGTAGGAGATGCATCCATGAAACCGACAGTACTCACCTGGTAATTGAACATTTAACAATTCTTATAATATTTTGCATGAATGAGTGAGTATGACAGTTTTTAACGATATTCCTGCAGAACATGCCAGAAATGGGTTTCACACATTGTACCCATCAAATCAAAACCTACAGGAATCAAACCTGGGTCTTCAGTGGGACTAGTGAATGCTTTCACCACTAGGCTACACAAATGCCCTTAAAATATGTAGAGGAAATGTTTTATTTGACTATTTCTTCCTGACATGCTGCTTTAGGATATCCATATATGACATCCCAAAGGGACACAACTCATGGCAGCTTGGACAACTGGGCTACCAATGGTGCCTACAGCATGGAATAACACTGAATATTCCTATCAACAGTTGAGCTATGTATTGAAACTGTTTCAGTGAGGTCGGTTAAATATTTTGGTTTGCATTCTTGTTATATCACAGCTTGTTAGTTTGATTTGGAAGTAAAGCCCAAAGTGATGCAAATCTAAGATGTTCAAACTTTGTTGATCCCTTCGATCACTGCTATGGTGCTGACAAGCATAGAAACATACTCAGGGCAAATTGGACTGTGAATCCAACATTATAGATTTTTATCACACCTAAGGGAGGCAACTCTGCAGAGTAAATTTTGTCTTGGAAAACTAAACACTTTGCACCCATCTCTAACTTTGGTAATATAAATTCAAGACCATATTTTCCAGAACTGATGCCACTTAGTCATAGTTTCTAGCTTGCAGGAATGATATCAAGAAACAGAGTGATGGAGACTGGAAAAAAGTACAAGCTGAAGGACAAATGGTTTTGAAAAATGCAAGACAAATGAGTTGGCTCAAAAGTAACAGTAATATTTGACAGTACTGCTGTAAAGTCATGACAGTAATCTCCATACGGAGCATATCTGTATCAGTAATCGGCAAGTGCATCAATAATTAAATCAAAGCTGTTGGTGTCGCTTGTCATCAAACATGTCAGTCTTGTATTTGCCATCTAGCATTAGTTAGTCATGGTGGTTTGCTAATAGGTGCCTTCAAATTATGGTCAATGGCTCTGCTTCTCAAAGAGGTCTTATCTTAGCCATTTAGGTTTGCTAATATGTGCCTTCAAATTATGCAATTAGTTAGTCATGGTGGTTTGCTAATATGTGCCTTCAAATTATGGTCAATGGCTCTGCTTCTCAAAGAGATCTTAGCCATTTAGCATTAGTTAGTCATGGTGGTTTGCTAATATGTGCCTTCAAATTATGGTCAATGGCTCTGCTTCTCAAAGAGATCTTAGCCATTTAGCATTAGTTAGTCATGGTGGTATGCTAATAGGTGCCTTCAAATAACGTGTCAATGGCTCTGCTTCTCAAAGAGATCTTAGCCATTTAGCATTAGTCATGGTGGTATGCTAATATGTGCCTTCAAATAACCAGATCCCTGCTCCACAAAGCAACCTTAGCACTATGATTGCTGTAAGTTCATGTTAGAATATGAGAGCTACAACCATCTTAGCTCTAAGATCAGATCGTGGAACAGAGCTCTGTTGTGGAGTCCTACATCCTAAGGTCAATGTGTAAGTCTACATCTCTATTGTATATACCTTACTGCATGGAAGCTCATAATTCTTTGTCTAAAATTTAAGACATGAAATGGTAATTAAAAAAATAATGACAATCTTAAGCTTAAATGCAAAAAATCATTCATGAAAAGGGGTGATTTCATGTTTCTAAGAGGAGACAATGGCAGGTAATGAGACATTGATAACTCTACTGGAGCTAGTTTTCATGGAAATACTTTTGAAACATTCTAAAATACTCACACTTGGGGAGTCTTTTCTGGAGTTTTCTTCTCCCTTGCTCCTGGAACTGGAGTAAAGATGGACATTGTCAAATACAATCTGGTGTGGGCTTTCACAAAGTTGGCATCTACTCTACCTTCATAATAGACCAGGTGTATCACAGAGATATGTAAATCTCACCTGATTCATACATACCTGTACCTATTTACATAACAGATAAACATTGGTCACAACGCAGCTGAATCTGAATGATCAAAACTGTATTCTGGTGTAATATTTTCTTTGGTGTCTGTTTGTTTGCAGTTTTACTGCACTCTGCAATATTCCGCCAACATGAATGCAGCTAGTAAATAATGTAACCCAGACCAGACAAACCAGTGATTAATGTCCAAGTGACATATCTGGACAACCTAATGCTTAGTTGCCTGGGTGGCTGATAATGTGGGAGTATATACAGCTGGTAATGGGAAGTAAATACAGCTGATAACGGTGAGTATATATACAGCTGGTATTGGGGAAATAGATGCAGCTGTTTATGGGGGGGATATGCAGCTGTTGATGGTGGGAAATATGTGGAGCTATTAGTGGGGTGGGGAATATATGCAGCTGTTAATTGGGGAATGGGGAATATATGCAGCTGTTAATGGGGAGGGGAATATATGCAGCTGATAATGGGGATATATATGCAGCTGTTAATGGGGAGGGGAATATATGCAGCTGTTAATGGGGAGGAATATATGCAGCTGATAATGGGGGGAATATATGCAGCTGTTAATGGGAGGGCAGCTGATAATGGGGATATACGGTTTTTATTATGCAGCTGATAATGGGGGATAATATGCAGCTGATAATGGGGAAATATATGCAGCTGATAATGGGGAAATATGCAGCTGTTAATGGGGGGTATATATGCAGCTGATAATGGGGAAATATATGCAGCTGATAATGGGGAAATATATATGCAGCTGATAATGGGGATATATATATGCAGCTGATAATGGGGAAATATATGCAGCTGATAATGGGAAAATATATGCAGCTGTTAATGGGGGGAATATATGCAGCTGATAATGGGGGGGATATATGCAGCTGATAATGGGGGAAATATATGCAGCTGATAATGGGGGGGGGATATATGCAGCTGTTAATGGGGAAATATACTGCATAACATAACATACTGCAAACACACATTGCCATGGTTACACATCAGGAATGAAAATACAGTGACATCGTTATGTTACTTTGAATTGAGTGAAGAACTGTCAACAGCACCATAAGATTTGGTCATTGGCAGAAAGTTAAAGAAAACAGCGACGTGATGAGGTTTGGGAGAATTGTTAAGAATGCTTGCATGTACGTAGATGTAACTGTCTCTTTCAGTATTAAATTTTGTATGAGACAAAATCTGTTTTAGTCAGTGCTCCGAAATATGATATAGAAAAGCCAAATTATATACTCACAATATATCATATATGCACCATTATTCAGGGCACAGTTTTCTAAAACCTGAGGAAATATTTTGTTTTTCCCAAACATTTTTGTAAAAGGTTATATTGGTCCCAAACCCACAAGATTATCTAATGGAGGGGAGTAACAAAAGCACAGCAACATGAACAAATTTGTCAACATCCTTATGCTGACAGTCTGATGATGGGGTTGACATGTTGACAGATCTTGCACATTATCACAAAATAAGTGTAACATTACCATCCGGGTTAGTGGGTTCAGTTCGTTGTAAGGCTGCATGAAAACAGAACAAACCATTAGTAGATGAACATTCCTGCCAAATACAGGGAAAAGTTAGTTCAAACAAAGACTGCAAAACTGTCCAGACAATACACAACAAAAAAGGAAGTGTTTACATTGAATATCCCCACAATATACTTTTAAGCATGAGGAAATCTAGAATAAATATTAATTTACTTGGATCAAGAGGGGATTAGGGCATGCAGCAAATATCATGCTCAGTTTCTGGAAACTATAATTCTTACAATTATGACTCATTTTGATAAAAGTTCAAGAAATCACTTGATCCAAGAAAGAACTGTTCCATCTTTCTTTGAGTTGCATGCTAAGATATTTCAGTTGCAAAGATGACAACAGTTCTCCATGCATTTTGTTCTCATTAATAACATGCAAGGGCCTTTAAGTTATTTAGTTGGTTTACAAAACAATATGACCGAATATAAAATAATTATGATGTTGGTTGGAACATGAAATTACCTTACTAATTAGCATTGATACTCATGAGTGAAAATGAGAACCTTGTAGGACACACTGTCACGATAGCTGAATGTTTTGGGGTTGAAATAATGATTTTTATATCTATCATTTACCAATGGTTACAAACATAAGTGTCCATTTACAAAACAGTCAACCCCAAAATTGACATAAAGTAATTTTTTGTATCTAATTTCTTTTTTTTTCAGCCTTCTAAACCAACTTAAAAGATTTGGAGGCCATGGCATAGATTGATAAAAGCATATATTCTGTAAGAAGAGGTATACTATAGTATTTTGTACATGCTTACAGGGTCATGCATAGCATGCATAGGGGGCGTGAATGTTGTTTTATGCCACAGTCAGCACTGTTCCAGCTATATCAGGGCATTTAGGCAGCTTTCCTGGATGAGTGAGTGATTTGGGTTTATGCCGTTATATCAATATTCATGTAACATCATGTCCTGGGAAACTAGAAATAGGTTTCACCCATGGTACCCATGTGAATAATAGAACCTGTGTGTTGACTTAATGTACCAGGAAAGCTGCAAGGAAGGCTGGTCTGACACGGTTACCACTTTGGCAAAACCTATAAGTATGCTTATGGTGCAGACAATCCTAGAAACATAAGGGCCTCGTGGGATTCAAACCCATGATCATAAGTTTCTGGAATGCACAAGGAATACAACGCAGCACATAAAATTGTTGTAAGTGAGTATGTTGTCAAGCTGCTTTTAGCAATATTACAGCAATATTACAGCATGGGACACCAGAAATGGGCTTCACTAATTGCACCCATGTAGGGAATCGAACACGGGTCTTCGGTGGGACGAGCAATCGCTTTAACTACTAGGCTACCCCACTGTCCCTCGAAACATTGTCTTGGAACACTGTGCCATCCATGCTCCATGAACATTTCTGATAAGTTTGATTTCAGTGCAACATTAAAGTCAAATCTGAATATCCTATACAGACACCAAATTCCATTTTCCACACACATTCATAACCCCTAACAGTTCATTGCATATTGTGTTGATATGTCTAAAACAATTAAGAAAATAATCATAAAAATCTGAAATAAAAAAATACTATAGGGACTTATATAACAGGAACAAATGAAGGTATTAACACAGATCATCATTTTGAACAATAAAATGAAGAAAAGAAATATTCATAAAAGTATGGCAACATATGTATGCATATTTGTGAACAAAGATTTTAATACCCTACAACCAATATTGAAACAGTCAACACAGGACGGGATGCTGACAATTTAGGAACTTACTAAATCTGAATTCACATCTATAAAAGTTAATAAATGCAAAGAAGTGCACCATATATTTGTATATATATATTCAAGCATGCAGAAGGTGCAGTGATGGAAGGAAATATGTACAACTGATAACAAACAGCTGACCGTGCTGTTTGTTCATTTCTCCACATAAAACATAATTCTTGCCTTACCTTTAATTCACAATCAAATTATTTTTTCATATCTTTGTTTAAGATATATTCTTTGAATAATCATAGTGATTATTTCGGATACAATACTTAGTAAAACATAAACATTACCATATCCAACACAAAAAACACCCTGGACCTAATAAAAGTCCTTCAGTTAGTGAGTGAGTGAGTTGGGTTTTACGCCGCTTTTAGCAATATTCCAGTAAGATCACAGCGGGGGACACCAGAAATGGGCTTCCCACATTGTACCCATGTAGGGAATCGAACCTGGGTCTTTGGCGTGAAAAGCGAATGCTTTAACCACTGGGCTACCCCACCGCCTCCTTCAGTTAGTGAGTGAGCATGGTTTTATGCTGCTTTAAGCAATATTCCAGCAATAATATCACAGGGGACACCAGAAATGGGCTCCACTTATTTTACACACGTGGGGAATCGAACACAAGTCCTTCGGATGTTCACAGATTTGTGTACAGTTGTAGTGACACTACGGTACAGCTTTAAAAACTTGAATACTTTGAATATGGACAAGCAGAATTCTGAATAGGAGTCAAGTTGTTTGTAAATATACCCGCAACATTGAAGTGATGGTGGAGATCTTATACAAGGGTGCTTGTTGGGTTGAAAATAGTAACAACATAGAGAAAAACAAACAACTGAGAGATAATACTTAGCATATTGAATACTGAAAAATTGTTTTGTATTTGTGGAAACATTATAAAGGAAGCTTTCTCTGGTGCATTCTTGAAAGGTTACACTGCAGTGTGCAGTGGCATGCATATATTCATGCACTCATGCATTGAGTAACGCTCATACACTCTTATCATCTTAAACACTGACGCAAAACTTCATTTACATCAATCCAAAAACTGAGCACATTTAAGCAAGAGCAAGAAATCAGTTTAAGTAGCATGAAGCAGAAAAAGTAATCAAAACATTTATTTGTAAATTAACAAAATTTGTCATCAAAAGGTAAATAAAAAACATATTTTGCATAATGGCAAAAATAGTGAACAAGGAATAAGTTGTCTTGAGGAAAAGAGCATATGAACATATACGAATGAGCAGACTCTTCAGAAATTGTCAATAACACATAGAGAAGATAGTTATTGAGGGTATTAGTAGAGACTGGTTCAGCACCACAACCTCAGGTCAGTGATCAAACTATTTTTGATCCAAGTGTCAATGACAGAAGGCCGTTTCCCCTGAAATGTTAGCGACATCCACCACGGACTCTAGTAAACGAAGCAAATCATACACAACAGATCCCATTCACTGGTATCATAGTCCACGGACATTGTTGGGGACTCGTCAACTGAAATACACACATGTAGCTTGTATAGAATCAAGTCATTTCAACTGTTTAAGGACTACATGGACAACAAACTGAAGTTATTGAAGAGAGACATTGTCGGCGAGTCCGAGGAAAGGTCTCTCAGTGTTTTCAAAAAGGTGAGGAAAATTGATACGCCAAACTTTAAATACAAAGGGAACGAAATTCAATTCAAGTTCAATTCTGATATTTCTGACAGACTAGATTCGGCTAGAAGACACTGTAACAGGAGAGATTTTCCAGAATGTTTAGAACTTATAGACACTATTCAATGTTCTATTAAGAAGAGGAATAAGTTCATCAGACTGGCGGACAGATCTCCGTCGGGATGGGGATTGATATCGGAGTTGGAAGGTGACGAAATTGCTTCTAATTCGGAGGAGGAGAGACGGTTTGAAAGGGCAGAGACCAAGGCACTTCAGAAGAGACAACGCCGTGAGTTGCTGTCAGGCCCCGAGGCAGAGGACCTCAAGGATCCGTTAACTCAAGTCCTTATCCTCAACCAACTTTACAACCAACATCTCAGCCTCCCAATCAGCCCTTTCGGTCAGTACTCGGCGTCATCACCCGCCTCCAGGCCATGTTTCTTGTGCGGAGAGGTCGGACACTGGCGAGCCACGTGTCCTGCAGCAGCAGCTTTATACCGGTCAGCCCAGCAGAACTCCAGGGAGGGTAGCTCCCAACAGGACGCAAGAAATACAGTGAGAGACAAAGTCTTGGAGAAAACTAAAGTGGAGTTAGTTAGGAAACCGTGGACTTACAGTTATTCAGATTCGACTTCATCTGCAGGGTTAGAAGGTATCGAACTTGAGACAAGTGCCTTGCATCTATCTGAAAATTTGAGTTTGAGTATAGTTCTCATGTTATAGTAAAGGGAATCTTAAGAATCATGTCGCCTTCTGGAGACAAATTTCTGCTTCTGATTACATTTTGCAAGTCATAGAACACGGTTATGTTATTCCATTTGTCCGAAACCCTCCTCCTTCGTGTGTAGTCGTAACAACTGCTCTGCATTTAAATATGGCGAAGTTTGTGACTGACCTTGAATTCAACAACTCTTGGCAAATAATTGTATAGTGCAAGTTACACAAAAACCTCATATTATAAGCCCACTGTCAGTGTCCGTTCAAAAATCAGGCAAGAAAAGGTTAATTTTAGACCTGAGGTTAGTAAATCGTTACGTTTGGAAGGAGAAGATTGTTCTTGAAGGTCATAATGTAGCATTGAACCTTGTTCATATTGGCGGATACATGTTTAAATTTGATTTAAAGTCAGGTTATCATCACATTGATATTCACAAAGATCAGCACAAGTTTTAGGTTTTAAATGGACAGATAATAACGGTTATATCAAGTATTATTGTTTTACTGTTCTCCTTTTCGGTTTGACTTCTGCACCATATATTTTCACCAAGTGTCTCAGACCACTCGTGAAGTATTGGAGACAGAATTCGCGTGATATCGCCGTATCTGGATGATGGGTTCGGCCTCGCTCAGACTCTAGCTTTATGCAGCAAGCATTCATCTTTCGTTAGATCTACGTTAGCTAAGGCAGGTTTTGTCTGCAACGATCAGAAATCAGTGTGGGCACCTTCAAGACAGCTAGAATGGCTTGGTTTTAACTGGGACCTTGACAACGGCGTCATTTCCATTCCTTACAGGAAACTCGACGATATAAACCTAAGTTTTTCGAAGTTTATGTCACTGCTACCCAAGTTTACTCCAAGA